TTAAAAATAATAAAAAAAGTTCATTTAATGCAGAAACCTCTTATGCTAATAAAATAATAAATATATTTCTAATATAAAACAAGTTTGAAATTATTAGGTCAAAATGTAAAAAAGGTTTTTGTCTAAAAATTTAATATTTTTTCACAAAAAATTGCGTTGAACAAAAATTGAAGTTTTTGTATGTTTATTCAAAATGTAATATTCATTAGATAAGGGGTATCTCAAATAAACAATTTAAATTACTTTGATCGACTTCATATTGACTTTTATTTTTGATAATATATGAATATTATCGTTTATGAAAATTAAAAGTATTTTTAGACTACCACGTTTAGAATTTAAGTCTACAATCTTCAATATTACATTCCTACATCTATCACAATAAATTAAAAAATAAATAATATTTTAGCTAAGATTAGTATTTACATTTTTGGAGCTGAGTATTATAAACCTCAGTGGTGTACTATAAACAGTGAGCATTTAATGTTTGTTCCAAATAGGTGTTAGATCATAAATATTTGATTGTAACATGTAGGTAACACATTGACTGTGTCCATGAATAAATAAATCTATAATTTAGATTGAGAATGCCTAATCTTTCTTCTTCAATCTGATTTCCTATAACTTCTCTCTTACTTTCTTGTATCCTTTCTTATATAAGTATCATTTTCCCGCAAATTTAACGATCTCATCCAATCGTTTATTTTGGAGTAACTTATTTTTACTCGTTGTTAATTTTAGTGTTCAATTTATTTGTCTTGAAACATATCCGACATTTTTCGTATTAAGTGTTTTTTAGGCTAAAAAAATGTAGTTATTTTAGTATTTTTCTGTGTCTGCAGTTGTTTGCACATCTCTTAATGTGATTTATCATACTGCGTTTTATGGTTTTTTACGTAATTTTGAATGTTTCCGAACGTTTTTGTCAAAGTCGTAGTATAAGTTCTATTAGATTTGACATGGTTAAAAACTTTATTTCAGTTATATTGTTCTAAAGCTATTTTCTTGTGGCATTTTAAATTAATTACTATTTAACTGGGAATAAGCCACAATTAAAGGTTAAAATACGTTTATTGACGTTTCAATTTCCACTTCGGAAATCGTTCTCAAAATACAAACAGTAAATTTATTGTTTGTATTTTGAGAACGATTTCCGAAGTGGAAATTGAAACTTCAATAAACGTATTTTAACCTTTAATTATGGCTTATTCCCAGTTAAAATAGTAATTAATTTATTTCAGTTAAGCAAGATATAGATGAAACATCTATATCGTCAATATATTAAACAAACTACTACACTTTACACTTGGTACGAATTATATATCAGCATAGTAAAATAGTATTATTCATTTATAGTCAAGGACTGAGATTCTCGAACCCAAAAAACCCCAATCAAGTTAGTAAAAATAAACCTTTCTTCGTCACAACTGTGTAGACGGGCTTACAGTTGAAATGTGTAGTATGAGACAAAAGACTGTCATCTAGGGATTCATCAATGTTTTAGTGAAAATATTTTTAAATAAACAATCAAAACGTCAAACTCAATATTTTGCTCATAACTTAAAAAATGTCTATTTAAAGATTTGACATCAACAGACAACTATTTTAGAAAAAACATTTTTAGCCTTCTGTTTTTTATATTCCGAAAGTGTTTTTTAGCCAATCTTTCTTTATACTGTTCCTCTATGGAATCCTTTAAGGGGTACCTATTATTATTGCTGACTGTAGATTCTTTCTGCTTTTCCGAGGTTTTTCTCTAAGCGCAGCTTTGCCAAGTTTTTGCTGAGGCTTAGACTGGATGGGCTATAACTGGGCTGACATGTCGTGGTTGTTCTACATCCTGATTATTTTCTACATCTTGAATAAACTACATCCTGAACATTTTCGTTAGCCTTATTTTTGTTACCATTTCCATTTTAATTTTCTTCGAGCCTATCAGTGACATAAGATGACATAAAATCACTCTCTGAAAAAAATTAGCAATTCAAAGGTGCTATGCCTGTTTTTTTAAATCCGTTGAGAATGTTGAGAGAAGTGAATACTTTAGGGTAGGCGGTACCAACAACACTACAAACGTCATAAATGCTCATGGGTAAGGCAGGATGATTTAGCATCCAGTCATCAACTCCTCGGTTATTATAGCTTTTAAATGGAAACAAGCAGCTCACGTTGAGCGACTGTAATTTAAGACTGCAATGGGGTGGCAATGTCAATAAAATAACCCCATTATCCTTTACACAGATTCAGCATACGAACATAGTAACGGTTCTCATGGTTGTCAAGAATTAATAGAACTGGTAACTATAAGCCTGAATTATGTACTTGCACAATAGCTGTTTCTCTCTACTTGTTAATATTGTTTTGAAACCGTGTGTTCGTCCATATTCAAAATTATTTGTGTTTCAATTCAATTTCAATTTCTTCACTTTTCGCTCTAGAGCCGTCTTGCTTACACCACGCTATTTGGATGCACTCATCAATGACATTTGATTTTCTACAACATCTTCTACTGCAGAATGTATAGACATTGCATATAATTGATGATCATCATCACGTAGCGCTACAACCCTGGGTGGGTCTTGGCTGACTGTACAACTTTTTTCCACTTTGTTCGGTCTTCCATCAACCTAGGGTCAAATGGAATGTTCATTTTCCGGAGATCTGCTTGGATGTTATCTCTACATCGCATTCTGGGACGTCCGAGGGGTCTTTTGCCTGTGGGAGTCTCCTCCCATACCTGTTTCACAAGTCTTTAGTTATGCAGTCTGTGTACGTGGCCTGCCCATCTTATTGGCACACAATATCGGCGTCGTTGTAGAGTGCTTTTAATTCGATATTGCTTCTGATCTTATACTGGTTTGTGGTGATGTTATGGTGAGGTCCAAAAATTTTTCTTTTTCGTTCAAAGCGTCTGAGCTTTTCTTCGTTGGCTTTGGTCATGGTTCACGTTTCGCATCCGTATGTTATTACAGGTCTGACGATGGATTTATAGATTTTGATCTTTGAACTTCTTAAATTCATGATCCTCTAGCCTTTTTTTTCGAAAACTGCTGAAAGTTGGGATCTTGGATGTCTCGGCATATTAAATTCTGCAAAGAATCAAAATGTTTAGCATGTTTTAGTATAATTTAGCATGGACTGCGTTGTGTTACCATATCCCAGTATGGACCGCTTTTTTATTTCCACTATGGACCATGGTGCGTCAAAATACAAATTATCAAAAATTTTATCAAAATAGTAGATCTAAGTGTAAACAGAATAAGACGATATTGAGGTTATGTCTGTTTTAGATATCCATACCAAATTCAAGTTAAAAAGGATACATTTCGGCGGATTATGTGGAAAAATTTGAACATGGAAATAAAAATGTTCACTAATCTGAATTTCCAAAATATCGAAACGTACTCCACGCCACCGATTCTGAGGCAGTACTTTTATACATTACCCTATAATTAGTATAGGCTTGTTTACCCTATACTAATAACTTATGAAAAAAAGTTAAAAAAAATTACATTTATGTACAGAGATTGATTCAATAATAAACAGCACTTTTTAAGCTTATAAACATTTACAATACCTCCGTAGAATTTAGTTTAATTAAATGGCTAAAAAATATTTGGAAAGCTAGTTGAAAAACACAACTTATAAAACCAAAAAAAAATGTTCTATAATATGGCCTGGTTATAGGGCCCTTGATAGTCAAGATAGGGAGCCTCTTGTTGTAAAAAAATCACTGTTACGTTAGTTAACAACATTAAGTAATGAAATTAACCAATCTTTTTATAAGCAAAGTTAAAGTTTTTATAAAAGTTTTAGCAAACAAAATTATTAAAAATTGTATAAACAGGAGTTTTGTAAAGAAAGAGAACTTAAAACAGTATCCAAAAACAGCGATTTTGTTGTTCATTGTTCAATAACTTTTTTTTTGTTTGTGAACCGATTTTAATTTAACATATTTCAGTTTATGTATCTTTTTTTTTTTCTGTTGAAGTCAGATCTCTAAATAGGCAATTTTGAAATTATGAGCAAAATAATGAGATTGACATTTTAATTAATAGAAATAGTTCCACAAAAAAATTGATGAATCCCTAGATATGAGTCTTTTTGTAATATCTTATACTACACCTTTCAACTGTCAAACCCGTCTATACATAAATGAGAATGAATAGTCAACTGAAACTAAACAATCAGTCTTCTTGTTACGAGCTACTACTATAATTTATTCGTCTTTCCGGGTTTGGACCGTGTCATTTGTGAGTGACCCAAAAGTGGGTTCATCTCGACGTTTCGCTACAATTGTATGTAGCTTCTTCAGGAGAACAAAGAAAAAGAAAAAGACAAAAAGACAGGAAGATGGGTAGTTAGCAACGGTAACTCCCGAAATACTAACTACCAAGATGGGCATTTGGTCACAGTAACTCAACTACTCAACGCAGCCAGAGGTGAAAACCAATGCCAGGATCCCGCGGATTCTCTCCCCCGCCTCATCGACGCGTTAGTGTTCTGAGCTGTTTGACGTGAATCCCTGTCCTGGCATTTGGTTTTCACCTCTGGCTGCGTTGAGTAGTTGAGTTACTGTGACCAAATGCCCATCTTGGTAGTTAGTATTCGCCTCTGGTTGCGTTGAGTAACTGAGTTACCGTTGCTAACTACCCATCTTCCTGTCTTTTGTTTTCTTTTTCTTTTTCTTTGTTCTCCTGAAGAAGCTACATACAATTGTAGCGAAACGTCGAGATGAACCCACTTTTGGGTCACTCACAAATGACACGGTCCAAACCCGGAAGACGAATAAATTATAATTCTGACTCTGGCCGTGGAAGCCTACGATCTCATTTGAGCTACTACTATTTGGATACAAACATTTAAATAATTTTGTTCTTAAGCTACTAATACTAGCAATCTATCTTACAAAACGTCAATTGATCTTTTATTTTGTTTTTAAATAACGTTTACTTGCATTTTTGATCTCATATCACTACCTCTATAATTTATTACTAAATCTACACTACATCAATTTTAACATCTTGTTCATGATCACTATCACTATCACTATAATTAATTTTTTTGATTTCCTCGTTATGTACTAATCCACCATATGGCTGGTGAATACCAGAACAATCAAAATTTAAAGGTTTCGATCGCACAACGGGCTTCTTCAGTAATTCCTCGATGGAATAAGGATTTTTCTTTTTTTGTTCGTTTCGACTTGTATTGGTTATGGACACGTCTTTTTTGTCTTCGTCTCTGTATGTAGAGCTATCTTTGGTTGCTTCTGTGTGGTAGGGAACAATAAGATTAGACCAATTGGCTGCAGTTGGAATTTCTACCGGAGATGCTGTTGCGATGTGCAGTTGACGCTGAAGGGAGGAAAATCGGTTAGTGGGAATGAAGGCGGGATCGTTTATTGATGGATAGTAGGGTATGGGGGTATTTGGTGGTGAGATGGCCTTGGAGTATATGTCTCCGTTCAAATCTGTAATAAAGAAATAAGTTTTAGTAGTTATATATAAAAGTATTACACTATAATCAAAACATAAATGTGTCTCGACATCTTTGGTTATTGAAACAGGAGCAAAGGTTTACAATAGTAGAGAGTTATGAGTATTTATTATATTACCGATACTTAGGCAGTTAAAAGATTATCAATATTATGTAAATTACATTTTGTTAATCAATTTTGTAACCGTTAAGAAGTCTATTAGCATTGTTTAAATAGCACCTATTAGGTTCTTGAGTCGGCTTGAACAATTCAGAATTTCATTTAAATTGTGGTTTATATTGTTGGCAATGGCAATGCGAGTGGCCTAGTAGTGTTGATATTCTGTGAGGATGTACTTGATGGTGATAGGAATATTGATTGCAGTAGGAGCACAGCAGTTCGTCTGTAGAGGACATAAGATGACTGTGTGTCAAACGTGTGTATCCTGCTGTAATAGCTATTTACGTTACATTTCTCTGAGATTTGTGTCTTTGGTGATCCAAAGTTTCTGCCACTTGTTGTGGATATTCCTTTTAAATTTTGATTTTATATTATTCTTGAAGTTGAACGTTGTAGAAGAGAAAGTTGGATGTAGATTGGTCTTTTGCAGTGCTATCAGCCATCTCATTTCGTTGGATGCCAATATGAGAAGGCACCCATATTATTGTTACTGAAGTCCCTCGGGAAGTGTGAAGATAGATCGATTCTAGTATTTTTTGCACTAATTGACGTTGATTGAAAATATTTTCTAACGAATGAATTGCGAATAAGGAATGGGTGCGCAGAGCTACACTTTGATGGCTGTCAAAAGGAAATTCAAGAGCTTTTGAAATACTGTAGAGTTTTTCTAGAAAACACACTACATTCGTAGGATATTCGGTGTTGTCTTAATACTGTATCAACTGTAGTGACAGAACAGCCAATTATATGGTGCCATTCGGGATGCATCGGTATAAAGCACCTTATCAAAGCTTGTCGAAAAATGATGTTTGTTGCTGTATTGCCTACCTGTTAAGTGTTAAGGATATTGTTTTTTCCTAGATACCACATTATTCGCTTGTTGATAATATTTTTCAATAATTAGCAAAGAGTACATCTTAGAGAGATTGGCCTGAATGAGTTTGGAGAGTTAAGAAGAGAGCTGCTTTTTTATAGGAAATATAATGGATTCCCTCCATTTGGAAGAAAATTCTTGTGAGGACCAGATTAGGTTGTATAATTTAAGCAATTTATTTATAGTTTCTTTATGGAGATATTTGAAAAAAATTGATGGGTGTCTTCAGGGCTAGCAAGCTGAGTTTTTTATTGTGGATATAAATAAAGTCTAGAAAAGTGTAAGTGATATCGTTATTTTTACCACTTGGGATGTAAAGAGTCTAAAGGATACTTATTTTGGTTTAGCGGTTTGGATTGAAGAATATGCGTGAAAATCTTGGCGATACTTTAACTTTGAGTCACTATTTTGTTGTCATGAATTAAGGCGGGGATTTTGTAGGAGGTGCATTGACCTTTCATATGTTTTATTTTGTTTTAAAATTGGCTTGGAGGTGTGTCGGTAGAAATAGAATTGATAGAAGGTTCCATGAAACCTTGCTTTCCTTTATGATACGTTTTGATGCAACTTTTATTAATTTAAGCTTAAGATTATCATTAGATTTGTTAGTATATATTTATTCAGAGTTGTCTTACATTCACGAACAGCTACAGCATAGGAGTCATTCCAACAAGGAACTGATTTTCGTGCAGGTTTTAATGATACATATTTTAATATTTTAATATATATTTTTAAGCTGAGTTAACTATGTAATTGCTAAACTAATTAACTAGGTGATCTATGCTATACTCAGAGTTGACTTGGTCTCGGACGTTGAGACTGACATGTATCCAGGCCGCTTGTGCTATACACTATTTAGTCACTGGGTTGTACTATTTCGGTTTATTGTCTGAGAACAGTATAGGTAAATGATCACTATGCAACAGACTACATCTCAAATCCCAATTATTATTCTAAAACTCCTAACTCAAATATTTATATATTTTCTAAAGTAATTGTAAAAATTGTGATTATCAATAAAAGAAAAAATGCAGAAAAACAAAACTATCTCTCTCTGATGATGTGTGGTCCAAATCCTTGTTCCTTGTAGCCTATACTATCTATTCTTAGCAGCTCCCTAGGTAATCAGCAATCTTACAACAAATTGTTGCAAGTTTATCATCCTTAATGACCTCCTTCAAATGCACAAATCATTCAAATTGCTAGTTTTCTCCATCGATACTGAACTCTCTGGCCTGATGAAAATGACTCTTGGATATCTTCTCTTTATGATAAACTGAATCTCTCGTTGGCCCTGAACAGGACTCTTGGAATATAAGTAGAAAAATATGACTTACAATATTTTGCTGGATCAGCTTCTGTCAGATACATTAACTCCACAAAAACTCACTAACATTCAACACCACTGCTTGCTACCTCTCGGGAACCACAAGAGAACAATGACCGTTCGCCTTGCACACTTGGAAAACCAACTGACTATCTTTTTTTCTTCAAAACTAACTAAAGTCTCATTCTCAAACCAACATCCCACCTTTTTCAATCTCATCCAATCAAATGCGTCATACATCTCCCATTTCTTCATTTCGAAAACACAAACAAATTTTTACCTACAGTTATAAAATTACCTAAAACTTATTTACAAACTAATCTTTTTCTACCAATTCTTATGAACTAACAAAAACATATCTTTCTAAAGTCTATTCTATTGTCCTAATTACTGCACAAATTTATTTGGAAAACCCGCTTCTATTGTCTAGGATTTCACTTAAGCTTATTCAATCGTCACTCAAATATATTTTAACACAGAAAATAATTTATGCATATCTTACGTTTTGTTCAATATAGGTAATCCAAAGATAAAAGACTTTCATTCTTCGAAATGTTTGTTGTTTATTATTCGACTTATCTGAATTATTTTAATTTTTTGAACTTTGAAATATTTTAAGCAAACTAATATTTTTCTCGATTTTACATATCATAACAATATATATATATATATATATATATATATATATATATATATATATATATATTTATATTATATATTATATATATGTAAAGCTTACTAAAAGCTACAGGACGATGTTAGGAATAGTTTAATTTCGACAAAAACATATGCATGGGTAAAATGCTGATGTAGTATTCTATAAAATATTATTTACTCATAAAATATTTTTAATATCCATTGTTGGACTTTTGCAAGTTGTACTAAACTTCAAATATTCTACAACGATATACCCAAAAACGCACTTAAAGTCATGTAGATCGTACTCTAATGATAATGAAGTTATGTGGGCGCCATTTGCGTAACGATTCTCAAGTTCCTAGATTTTAAACCTAACAGAAGACGTGATTTTCGAAAAATGTGAAGCTACACCTTAATAATATCTGATATAATTGAGATTTTTTACTAATTACGAATATTTATTTATTAGAAAAATTGTTAAATTTATATTATTTTATCAAAAATTGATGAAATGAAAGATTATTTGGTGTATATATAATTGATTATAAAATACAGTAATTCGAAAGTCAGTGTAAATGTATTCGATATCTATATTTCGATAGATAATACCAAAATAGCGTTGAATTTTGACATAAAACTCAGTGTATTTCAACCTTATTCGCAGAAAATCTATTTCGGCTCGAAAATTACATGGTCAGTAAACAAAAAGGTTTACGACTTTTTGCAAGAAATTAATATTTTATTACAACAGGTGATAGTTTAAGTGTTGGAACAAAAATTTAAAATTACGGGTGGCAAATCGCTGATTGGGCTTCTTTATTATAGGATGAAGATATCTGACTCGGTTCATTTTGGAGATGATAAGTGGTATTTTTATGTTAGTGTAGGAAAATTATACCTATCGCGATGTAACACCAAATGAGGTGTGATGTAATATTTAGATCAAATGCTAGTATTAGTATTAATATCTACAGGCTCCATGCGATCTTTAAACAGTATATTATCTAAAATTTATTAATAAATTCATTAGTGAACCTAATTAAGAACTGAAGAAGGCTTGTTTTTAAATAAAATATAAATGTAAATGTTTTCATCCTTTAAATGTTTTCACAGTTTGACATGTTTTACTGGGATTTTTTTTGTTTTTAATGCCGTTCTTGTTTAGTATCTATTGCAAGGATCAATGTTGTATTGCATAAAAAACAAAAACATACACATTCTGCTTTAAAAGTTACAGATAAACAGACAATGTTAATTTTAAAGATCACCGCGCGGAATAAATTCAATGGCGTCCGTCCAGATCAATCTCGCAAGTTGCACAGTCTGAAAAGTCTACAATGCCCTATATTACTTCTGTCCAATATTTATCATTTCATTATAACTTGCAGCACTTTATATTTTGGATTACAAGAATGCTCAAAAAAATTTCAGCTTTTTTTAAATATTGTGGCGAGTACTAAACTTACAGCTCTGTTAGACGCCAGACTCACTAAAACAAACGTTTAATCTAAATGAAAATATTTCAAGTAAATAACAAAAACTAAATTAACTTCTATATAATATACACAATAAAAATAAAAGGACGAATCCTAGTAAATAAAATCACTGGAGCCGCGGTCCGATTTTGATGATTGCAAAAATAAATATTAGCCACACACCGATGGCTTAGGCCAGTGTTTACCAAAGTGGGGGTCGCGACCTCCTCGGGGGTCGCCATGAGGTACTAGGGGGGTCGCCGAACATTTTAAAAATAAGACAAAAGCACCACTTTGTTAGATAAGGTTTTTTTTTTATATTAACAACGCCGTAAATAAAAATTAACAATTAATTATCAGACTAAATATAAAACTAAATATTAAAGTCCGTAAAAATAAAAGAGTAAAACAAATATTATAATCTTAATAATAGCTTATGCGCCTGTTTCTGTGAAACTAATCTTCAAATCTAGACACACACAATTATATCATTTTCAAG